CCCTCTTCTCTGGGTACTGCGGTTTCCTCCTGTGAAATCAACAAGGGATGACCCTCACTGTACCTATAGAGAGAGCAGCTTAGAAGTGGTATAGTTTTTGCGGGCTGCGGAAGTCTAAAGACTTACAATTCTTTGACGTTTTGTGTGGCAACAACAACTACTGAATGATCTGTAATATTTCTTAGAAAATTGTTGAGCTGCGCAAGATCTGTTGATGGGTTTAATGTAATTGACGTTTTTACGTCGCCAGTGATGGAACTCGCTACGACAATATTATAACCAGTCTGTGTATCGATGACCTCTTTTCCGTTCAACTATAAATAAAGAATAGCAAATTTATACACACAGCAGTAACTTTTATGTTAAGTTCAATATTGATGTGCATGGACCGTTTGATTATAATCTCAGTCGCAGGTAAGAAAAGTACTTTCACTTTTACTCAACTAAACCTCGCAGTTTTCCCCGAACAATACGGCTTTCTCCTGTAGTAACACTGGATCAGTAACAGGTGCCCTTTACCAGACCTCTAGGGAAAACAGTTTAAGACTGATAGAATTATCCAGTATAAATAAAGTTAGTTTAGTTTAGGTTTCCTCCTGTAGTAACACTGGATCAATATTAAACAGATGCACTTTACCAGACCTCTAGGAAGAACACTTTAAAACTGATACACAACAAACCTTAATAGAACTTTGACGGGTCACAACAGTTCCTTCTTTGTTGAACACAGTACCGGAACGAGCATGTACGCTAAGAATACCTGAAATCAAAACATATCTTCACAATCAATCACATCTTATGTCACAGTAATGATTACATTGCTATTAGAATACCTTTATAAACTCCAAACACTTCAATTCTCAGGCATGGTCTGCCCACCCAGTTCGTAGGTAGGACTCTAAGAGATCGGGCCAAGAATGATTTCACGAAGTTCTTATGAGAACAGCGACAGTTCGTGTTTGCAGGAAAAAGCTAAAATCGTAAAAAAGTGGAAATTAAATGTTGATTAGGATAGTTAAATAGGTAAGACTGGATCGCACCAAGAAGAGGAGTTCGGGTGTGACCACCCAGTATTCAAAAAACTGGTGGGCAAAACGAAGATTCTGTTCATAAAAGTACGTGGGAGTGTGCTAACTACTTGCAGCTAAACTGAATTACGTAGCAGCCTTTCTCACGATGACGAATATCCGTCATTTTTGGGTGGCATCAAATTTTCATTATCCAATGCAGGCAATTAAAACAATGTGAAAAGCAATTTTTCAAAATAAACTAACCATTTACAAAGCAAATTTACCATCATTCGTCCAAAAAATTATAAAAGGTCGCTGTTATGTGGACTTATCTCGCAGACTTCGGCTGAAATGCCACCCAAAAATGGCGGCGTGAGAAAGGCTAATTGAAACTGCTTGGCTTTCTAAAGGTGCCTCTGGGTTGAGCCACACGACTCGTGTCTGATCACGGATACGGTGGAAAGATCAGTTAGGGACTAACCCCAGCCCACCCCGTCAACATTTTCTGTGGAAAGAAACCGGAGCACGACTTTCGGTCGGAGAGTCTTAACTTCTGACATGCTTAAGTATATCACGAGTCCACAGCGAGAGTGAAACCCACGAATTTCTGGCACCGAAGCCCCTAAACTGTTATAAAAAATACAGAGCCACATCGTACCTTAACTACAGCATCTTCCTCGTAGAAATTCCAGTGGATTTCATCCAATGTACTTGATAATTTGTACTCTGTGATGTACTCCATAACATCGATAAACTTGCCTTGTGTAGTAAGTGCATGAACTGAAATGAAAAAACGTGCATTTTTTGAGAAAAAGTTTATAAAGAAACGTCTTCTCATGGAAATTTACAATTGCAACGTCAATGAAGACATGTTCATCAACAAAAGAATTTTTACACTAAAGCAAAAGGACTATAAATTGTACTCCCTTGGGCATTCTAGTATGCCATAGTTATTCAAACCGTTACGTTATTTCATCATTTTCATGGTTCATAACTTAAACTACGTTAAAACGTTGCAAACGCGTATCGTACCGAAACGTAGCGTATTTCTTTGTTTCCTGAGCGATGGTGTGGAACTAATGACTTCGACACAAAAAAATGCTACGGTAGGTTACGATACAGCTGAAGCGGAAAACAGGCTAAAAGGGCTGTTTGTATAAAAGAATATAAGTAATTTAGTCGCGTACACCGTGCAAAAAATGGGTAATAACCACTTTCTCTATGCAGTAAGGGGCGACATCCATACTCAAATTGCCACGCAAAACGTCATTTTGACGTTTTGAGTGGGTGGGTGGGTTTTCAAAAGTGAATTTGACGTTTTGCGTGGCAGTTTGAATTTTTTTAAATCAGAAAATATTGAACACATGTGCAGAGATGATTTTGGATGTATATGTAGAAGTTAACTTGAAGAATTTGTGTATTTCACTGTAACAAAGGCAGTGGCGGCGCCAGGCTTCCAAATTTGGGGGGGCATTTGAGGGGCAAACTCAAATTTTGGGGGGGCAAGATAGAATTTTTAAAAAGGTCGCCCCCCCAGGAAATTCCCCCCCTCAAAACGTGGCGATATTCCTAGGAATATCGCCCCCGGGGCGAATATCCTAGGAATATCGCCTCCCAGGGGGGTGGGGCGAATACCCTAGGAATATCGCCCCTCTTTAGGACATTCGCCCCCCATATATGCGATGTGGTTTATTCAAATAATTTTGTGATACTTTCATCTTATTATTGCCTTACACGTTTGAGAATTTAACTCTGCAAAACTAAAGCTTTTTTGTCTTTTTTTGAAACGTATTATTGGAGTATTGGCAAGTTTTACCATTCAGAGATTTACAAACAAATATTGAAACTGTAAAAAACAGTTTCATGTATACGCGCATTCACTAATGAGTGATGACAACTTATAAGCCATACATTTTCCGATAACGACAGAACGCTTGTGTAGCCTTTAGTCGCTCTTAGTGACTAATAACTTCCACCAATTAGCCTTTCTCACGTCACCATTTTTGGAGTACTGTAATTCAGTTTTCGTAAATGATTATAACAATGTGAAAAGCGATATTTCAGAACAAACTAACTATTTACAGAGTAAAATTTATCATCACACAACCGTAAATTATAAAATGTCGCCGTTACGTAGTGTTACGCTTGCAGGATTGGCAAAAAGTACCCCAAAAATGGCGGTGTGAGAAAGACTTAATTAAATCCTACCTTGAAAATTTAGCAGGAAGTCAACTTGTAGGAATAATTGTTCCCGCATTGTGTTTCCACACCAAGCTCCAGGGAAATTTAGCCTCCCTTCATGGGCAGGATGTGGATCGTCAGGGTGATTAGAGGATTTCAACTGATCATCTATTATTATCCCCTCTTCCACACCAGCACTTGTCCTTTCATAAACTGTAAAGAACAATATATACGTTCATTCAAAAATGTGAAACTGGATAGCTCTATCAGTTCAAAATTATTCTCTTTTCTCGTTCAGTGAAGGCCTTCCCTGATTGACCAGTGTTACTACGGAAGGAAACCTAAACTAAACTAACTTTATTTATACTAGATAGCTCTATCAGTTTTAAACTGTTCTTCCTAGAGGTCCAGTAAGGATCATCTCTTATTGATCCAGTGTTACTACGGAAGGAAACCTAAACTAAACTAACTTTATTTATACTAGATAGCTCTATCAGTTTTAAACTGTTCTTCCTAGAGGTCTAATAAGGATTGTCTCTTATTGATCCAGTGTTACTACAGGAGGAAACCTAAACTAAACTAACTTTATTTATACTGGATAATTGTATCAGGTCTAAACTGTCCTCCCTGAGAGGTCCAGTCATGACATCCCTTATTTGTCCAGTGTTACTAGTCTACAGGGGGAAATCTGAACTAAACTAGCTTTATTTATACTGTATAGCTCTATCAGTTCTAAACTCTAAAGTCTCTAAACTGTCCTCCCTAGAGGTTCATACAGTCATGGCATCTCTTATTAGTCCAGTGACTCATTATACAAGAAAAAACCTTACTTTGTACTGGATAGCTCTATCAGTTCTTCACTATTCTTGACAATGTGATGTATCAGTTTATATCTAACCTTTTATCTCATGCAACTGAAACCTGAACGAGGTCCTTCTTCCCCAACTGGCAATGGTAAATCTTACAAAGCGAGCAAGGACGTAGTAGTCGAACTCTTGGTAGCAATTTGACGTCAGCAGTTTCTATGAAAACATAAAACAAGGTCGAATTTCATTATTTCAACTACCTTTATTTATAGTGGATAGCTCTATCAGTTCTGAACTGTTCTCCCTAAAGGTCCAGTAGGAGCCATCCCGTGTTGGCGTAATACTATTACAGAAGAAACTTGAACTAAACTATCCATATTTATGTTAGATAGCTCTATCAGTGCCAAACTGTTGTTCCCGGATGTAAAGGTTAGACCTCAATGGTCTCATCTTTCTATAAGAGGGCAACTTAGTGAAACTCTGAGCTGCTTGGTAAAGCCAAACTAACTAATTTCCCGACGAGGTTCCAAACGTCGAGTCTCTCCTTGTATTTTTCAAGTTTTGTTAAAACTCAAGCTTACCATTGTTTTTCCATATCTATCTTTGAGCAGCTTCCATTGTCCCTCAACCGTACCATGATGCACCATCAGTTTTGTATAAGAATCATCAGGAAAGTCTGCTGCTCCACGTAATTCTACACCTGCCAATGGCGTCGGTTGAAGCAGATCCACCTTAAGATAATAAAGACATTTTTCACCACTGCATTGTAACAACGTGCTTACGTTGTAGTCTTCCATGGTAACATGAATCAATACTCAACCTGGATATACTCCTCTGCCTTTTCCACAGCTGGAGTCCAGGATGTCGACTCCGGGTTTCCTGATATAATGCCGTCAAATGGTTGGTGACGACTAAACAGAAAAGGATAGGAATCGTATCTCAAACCAAAAGTTGTGACAACCTTGCAGCAACTTGATAAAATTACAACATAGTTACAACTTAAGTTCTTTGTATGTTCGTATGGCGATAAAACAAAACTATTATTGTCACAAATTGTTAACAAGCTTGCTATACAAGGCTGCTGCAAATACTTCTTGTTGGGAAGATTCATGTCTGTAAGTTCTGTATAGGAAGCGAAAAAAACCCTGATATTTGAAAGCTTTCAGAAACAACTCATTGGCTTAAGTGGGTAATTCTTTTAGCAAATTTGCACAACATTTTAGAAAGAAAAAAAATTTGAGACCTGGAACTTGCACCAAGAAAAAAGCCTGGTTTGGCGACCTACATTTGCACCTCCGAGCATGGTAGAGAAAGGTCCGCTACTGGATTTTGAACACCATACAGACAGGCAGAAGTTAAAAGAAAAATTAATTCGAACACTCACTGGTCTAGCCACGAGGATGCTGTAATTCTATTTTCTACATCAGCATAATCACCATCAATAAGATCAGCTGTTTAAAGTGAATAAAGTGAAATTATAAACAAAACTATAAACTATCTTTAGTTTGCTGCAAAAACCTCTGAGTATTATGACTAAAAAATGTGACTAAGTAATGCACACACAATCACTCAAAATTTGGAGTAAAATTTCTTAAACTTATGAGCAAATTTACCCAATATTTTGAGTAAAGGCCCGTTGCTTGCCCCAGTAATGAAGCGAGATTATCAGAGCTGGGCCCTTTCACATCATCAATAAAAAGTTTCAACCTCGTTGAGAAAGCTGCACACTGGACGCTCTATCAGTTCTGAACTGCTCGCACCAGAGAGACGCCTGGGAGAAACCTAGACTAAAGTAACTTTATACTAAATAGCTTTATCAAATTCTAAACCGTTCTTCCAAGAGATCCAGTAAGCAAATTCCATTATTTGTCCAGTGCTATTACACGAGGGACCCAAACTATAAACTAACTTTGCTCAACCGTCAGATTTTGCGAAAATACAGTCACTGCAGACAATATCAATAAAAATATCATACCTTGAAAGCCATAAAATTCAGCCCTCATGCAAGGATCTTTGCTAGTATGCCATGCTTTTACAGTTATACGGAGAAGTCTTGCTCTGATGTAGGGATCAATGTAGTTTCGAACTATTCCCTTCAGGTCCGTGTTCCCAATGAAAATCTTGAGGAACAGAGCGGGACAGAGTAAGAGGAATGTGTTTAGTTAGGGAATGATAGTCATGTATACTTGCAGCTGAGGTCTTAATTACAAAAGACGCAGCTCAAACGTGTTCGGGTCGAGGGCTTACGAGAATGACTCTGGGATGACTATGCATAAATCTTTTTGACTATTAATATTTTAAAAGTAACGGTTAAACATTTAAACGAGGGGCTACCATTGGATAATTTGTTATCAATGACAATAATTCGTGCATAAGTTGCAAAGCATGGACAAGAATATGGAACAAAAACTTGATGAGCTGTTCCTTAAAACATCTATAACATTGAATTCGTGTTTCTGGTGTAGGTGAAGATATATGATTGCGATGTTTCTCTAAGTATGGCCACGCTGAACAAGCGAAATGTTTGCCTGACCACGGTGGGATTCGTGGGAATCGAGCCCACAACCTTTGGTTTGCTAGTCCAATGCTCTACCACCTGATCTACAAGGTCAAGTCGGTTCTAGTGCGTGATATTTCGGACTATTAATCTATTCCCTTCGATGGCAGTACGTTTTCGTGACCTTGAATTCGTTAGCTTGGACTTGGTGTGAAAATATTGTGTAAACATAGCTATTGAATTTTCTTCGAGACAATATGTATTTGCTTTGGTTTGTGGTAAAGCCACTGACTGTTTTACTTACTTTTACTTCTCCTTGCTGCTTATAAAGCTGAAATTCAACATCGTCGTCATCATTTTCTTGTTTATACGAGAGAGTATATTTTGTCACCCACTCTGGCCAGTGATGCCTTCCTTGCGTTGCCAAGCCAGTAACCTTTACCGTACGAAGGAAATCGACCTGGAACCATCTGCTTTGATCTGCGTCCGCGGGACACCAGCTCCCTCCTTTTTCATTAGAAGTGTAATAATTCAATCGTCCGGCTCCTGTACCCAATTCATTTCTGTACTCACTAGAAGCACTGAGTTGAGAATCGGTAATTTGGAAATTCTCCATACCAAGTGGGTTCCGGCCAGGTATATTCTCGCAAGAATCTAAATATGTAAAACATTAGATAGTTTTCCGACTAATTAAGCAGCAATCTTTCTAGGAGACTACCCGAAAAAAAAGCGCGTTTCCAGCAAAGTGCCTTTATCGGGAAGTCATTGCTTGTACACACGTAAAAATCTCACAACTTGTCGACAAGATGTGTTCGCAACAGTCATGTAGCAAGCTTCTCAACAAGTTGTAACAATGCTGTTATTTTATCAAGTTGCTACAAGCTTGTCACTCACAACTTCAAGGGTTGACAAATTGTTGAATTGCAGGACGATAACAAGTTGTTGGAACAACTTGTAACAAGTCTGTTGAGCTCAACAACCTTGTAACAAGCCGTTGACAACTTGTCAACAAGCTGGGAACAAGCAGTGCGAACACGTCCTGTTGACAAGTTGTTGGAACAGCATTGCTACACGACTCTGCTGCAGGTTTGTCACAACTTGTGCGTGTGTAGTCATCGCTACTTACACTGACCGTTCGAGCTTTCACTAAGCACTATTGCGCAGCAGATGGTAGCCACCTGACCTGGCAAATTTGGATGACTTGCATGCCTGTAGTTACCAGGGACGCCGGAACTGGTGGGGCAGGAGGGGCAGCCGCCCCCGTTGCCCTTTACCAGGAGGGGCAAGGAGGAAAATGGTGCCCTTTCAATTTAAAGGATTGCCTTGGCGAAATAGCCAGAATGTCATATTGTCAGAAATGTTAGTGCAATTCGTTTACGAATTTGCTTCAGAAAACGCAAGAAATGCAGTCATCGAGCTTCAAGAATAGCGCAATCGCCTAGCGGAGAACACCCTCACACCCCTATCATCCAATAAATAGAAAACATGATTAGGCGAAGTTCAACTCCCGATGTTTTGCAAACATCTCTTAGTGTATATCAATTCAAAAGTGCCCTTTCACGAAAATCTGCCCCCCTTGCCTTCACATCGTTCCGTAGTTACACTGTTCTAGTTTTATTCTTGTTTGTTGTTTACAAAGCACAGAACAGCACCAAAGCCGGTTACAATTATTGTATTTACGCAAGTAAATGAACTAGCAAACAGTGAATGGAAATATCAGTATTTTCAAACACCTGTTTGTCCGAGGCTTTCAGCACTGGATAGTGAATACAAAATTTACCTGCATATCCCAAATAACAGCCAACAAACTCGACAGTAAGTGCTATAACTCCTTTCCATGTCACAGGGTAAATTCGGATATAACGGGCCACAATGGCGGGGTCAACATGGCGACTGACAACAGAAACTTTATCAGAATTTCCTACGAAAATCTAAAGAATTGAATAAAACGAATCTTCAATGAAAGCAAAGTTCATTCAGCAGGTCGATCAGTAGATATGTGGCTCAGCTTGTTGGTCCGACAGTCAACCAGTTGGTAATTTGGTCGGCCAGGTAGCGAGGATTAGTCAGTCAAACATGCAGTTAGCCAGTCAACCCGCAACCGAGCATAAAGGCCCGGCCTTGTCAACCAGTCACTCCGTGACAGGGTGCGATAATTCGCGTACTTATGTACCGGAGGTACGCCAATATTACAGTCTGGTACTTCTTTGTTTTCTGCAGCCAAGCACCACGTAGGTACACAGAACTCTTGCTATCTGCATATTTACTTTTTCATGACCTTTCCAAGTCCAAGGTATTCAATACCGTAACGTGGGCTATAATTTATTTGGCATATCATGGGTCTGAGATGTCTTGCATGAAAACATGATTGGACTGATGGCACTAAGAAACGTTTGAGTCGATTGTTTGTATATGCAATTGTGCTTCTTTTTCTACCTCGTAGTCTGAACATACTTTTCAGAAACCTGTACTTGACGAACGTTATTTTAATGACTAAGTACACATGCATTGAGTACTGTGTTTGCCATTGGCGTACCAGTCAGGTACGACTAAAAATCTTGAATTATCTCGCACCCTGAGTGGGTCAGTCAGCCGTAGTGTTGTGGTGACCACGCTTGCCTTCCAAGCTAGGAGACCTGGGTTCAATCCTTGCTCGGACCTCTACTCAAGGTCTTAAAATAACTGAGGAGAAAGAACTACCTCTACATTGACATCAGTGAATGGTTAGAGTTTCTTCTCGGATAAGGACGTTCGTAGATACCTCGGATCCCCTATTAATTAGGCATTAGGTTGTTGGGAAATCCGCTCACCAATGAGTGACTCACTAAAGCCCGGCTTACCTTGGTGGTGCCACGATATGCATACTCATAGAAGTTCACCCCATCGTTGCCATAGGAAAGATAATAACTCTCCACCCAATTATTGTGGTGAGATCCCCACCGGCCTTGTGTCAACATCTCTACAACTTTAGCAAAACGACCGAAGGAAACTTGTAACCATGAGTTTGAATGAAAAGTTATCCAACATTTGTCCGCTTGCCAATTTAGCCTAACATTGGCTGCTGGCCATCCTTGGTAATAGGAAGATGCGCTGATTTGACTGTCCTGGATCCTTTTATCCTCCATTCCAAGTGGTTGAGGATTTGCACATTCTAAAAGATAAATCACTGATGTAGTTAAAGTTTTACAGCAACCGAGTTAAAAGCCTGGTGTACAATATCAAACATTCTGTGATCACAGTAGGAATTTTGCATGGGGAAATTCTAAGTTTGAAATTTTGTTCATAAAGAGTTTTAGTTTTTGAATGACACCTTTCTTGTATAATCTTAACCAAATTAATTGACTGAACACAAGCCGATTGAAAATTGCCGGCCAAAATCACATTTCTCACCACATTTATCAACAATGATTAAATTTCATCCAAATTTAAATTTATGCATTCACAGCTGTATTTGATGCAAATAGCCACACATTATTGTACATAACTTCATATAATTCACGAAGAAAATACAAAAGAAATGAATGTTTAATCAATGTTTGTAAATCAGATAAAGATTTGTCCTGATTTACATAAACTTCAGCTTTGATTTTCTCGGCTTAGAGAGTCAGTGTATTTTTAAGATTACTACAACAACGACTGACTCATAAAATGGGTCATTTTTTAAGTACGATAAAACATTCGCATCCGATCTTTATCTGATATACAAACTCTCGACTTCGGCTGGAGTTTTTATATCAGATACAGATCGGCTGCTCATGTTTTAACAGTACACCGTTTGTTACTCATGACGATAAAACGAGCTACCATGTGTATGAACCAGCGACCAATAAAACGTAGAGATATGCATGTGGACGGATTTGACAGCGAATTGCATGAAACGCGTATTCAATACAAAAATTTGAATATGCATAATCATTCATTATCGTCTAAAGGTATTCAACGTCAAGAAATAAGCGTACAATAGCATGTATATGGGAACCATACAAATCTAGAGATTATAGACATCAGAGTCAAGAATGCATTCATTCTAATGAAAACGTTGTTCATTAATATTGTTAAGCACCAACAGGCGAACAATAAAATAAACTTATAATCATTACAATGGTCTTAATTGTCAACTGTGTGTTTCTAATAACAATAGAATTCTTATCAAGTTCATTTAACACAAATATCTTTTCAACTAAACACTACAATATATGTGCGATATCAAGCAGGGAATGTCATATCCTTCACCCTGAATGGCCTCCCGTTTACTGTATGCAGCGTGGAATGTACAGTATATTTGCAAGAAGCGGTACCTTTGCCCGCAGTTCGCTGCATTTGTTGTACCAATGTTTCGCTGTAAGGCATCTAGGAGATGGGTTCGAAACTCTTCCTAAAGCAGTCGTCGATTTCTTGCCGTGTTTCTATCACCCGTCAAACGCTGAATTCCGGTGTCTGTGTTCTTGTGCGATTCTATTATGTATGCCTGAACATGTCCATATACCTACACATTGTATGTATACAGTAATCTACAGATACACACAAACCATGTTCCATATTTTTTGTTTGTGTGAGACTGCTTATTGTTAAACAAAGTGCGCAAGCCCTTTCATGCCTCTATACACCGGGGTGTTAGGAATATTCCATCACATTCATGCCAATTATAGGTAGTATTTAGTTGAAAAGATATCGGTGTTAAATGAACTTGATAAGAATTCTATTGTTATTAGAAACACACAGTTGGCAATTAAGACCATTGTAATGATTATACATTCATTTATTGTTCGCCTGTTGGTGCTTAACCAGTGGCGTAGCCAAGGGGGGGTGAGGGAGGGCGGTCGCCCCCCAATCGCAAAAAAACCATTCTCTGAAAAAGGCTAAATCCGTAGAGAAATTGTGTGTGTGTGGGGGGGGGGGTACGCGTTACATCGTCGAAGCTGAAACTGATTAAGTACGTCTCGACTGAGGAAAACGACGATATACTGGAGGAACTTGATTTGTAAAATCTCGTTAAAGCAGCTGTAGATATGGTTCCAAGAAGAATACATTTAGTTTAGATTTACATGTATGCATTATCATAGCATGAATATTCTTCTCAGACTTATTCTGTATGGTATAAAAAAGCAACGAAATTTTGAGAATGCGGAAATGCTGTCTAATAGAACCTAGAATGATTTAAATGCCTGTTTTTCAAGGTGACTTTTCCAATTTGTTTAATTCCGAGTAGAAAATTAGAAATGTCTGGGAAAATTTATGTCTTCATTGTACTTTATAATCTTCGGAATTCTGCAAGATTTTACCCCCAAAATGCTTGAAATTTCAATTTTCAAGGAATTTCGCATTTCAAGGAATTTCGAATTTCGCATTTCAGGGAATCTAGATTTCAAAATTTCCCCGGGGGTGCATGCCCCCGGACCCCCCTAGATGGTCTCGCGCCTTCGGCGTTGAAGGTCTGGCTACGCCACTGTTAGGGAGCATCTGGAGGACACTCTAAGGACTTGTGACGTCAGTGCAATGGGTCTATACAAAGAGTTGGTAGTCAACTAGTCATACGACCTTGGTTTATTGGTTTTATTGTTTAGCTGTTCTTGATGCTTTCCAAATCCTATTATTTATTCTATTCAAGTTAAAACATAGTTGAAACACTCATCAAACCTTTATTTTATTAATCTAGAGCTTGAAATGTCCCCTGCAACAATACGTCACTGCCAACTCTCATCAACTGAAGCGAGCCTGCGAGGCCAAACGGAATAATTTTACTCTTTTTGAGACAATAAAGAATAGAAATAAACTTGTTGTCTCAAACATGTAATGTGTAATGATGCTTTCACAAAAGAATATAAAGCCGGAGTAGTCAACGAGAATTTTCCAAAGACTTTGCCGTTGCCCGCGCAAACATGAAGTTTTGATGAACTCCCTAAACTTCTATGCCCGACTATGGCTGATCACGAGCGACAAACCTCTGGCAAATTAGAAATTTCCTGTTGCAAGGCAATAAGATGGAAAAATAGCCTACAAAATGGAATGATTTAATATATTAAAACTGTAATTTAAAATAAATCTGACTAAGAAAAGGAATACATTAAAATGTTGACGAAGAGTCGTTGACCTTGTCCTTGCTAAGCCGCGGTCTTGCGTTGTGCTGATTTTCTCGAAGGCGAAGGGTCTTCGCTCGTAAAGTTCAAGTGTCCCCATATTTGAGTGTTTACACGTTTTTCATTTCAATTGTAGTGGTCACCATGGACTGTAGGTGGAGCTATAGTTGGTGGTGTTGGTGCAGTTGTAGCGGCGCCTGTTGTCTTGGACTTGGAAGCAGCTGGTTTTACTGCGGCTGGCATATTAGCAGATTCGGTTACATCACTCCATTACTGATGGCATCAGGCATAATGTTTGCATCTGCACTTGCTAATGGAGCCGGTGGAGCAACAATGCTGGTGGCATTCTGTTCTGCATGGTTTGCCGAAGCCGTTGGCGTTGCTGCGATTCTGCGAAGATGATGCCTAGTGAGTAATGAGTAATGGAAGATGTTATACTTATAAACCGGCTAATCATTGAAACTAATGATATTAGTACTGATGATATAGACACAAACACACAGGAGGGAAGCAACAAGTACCATTCACATCTGTGTGTATAAGCGTGAAGTGATAAATTAAGCATCTTCAATTCTTCATATCCATAGGGGAGTATCAGTTTCTAGCTTCCAGGCCGGTGTTCCAGCAATTTATTAAAATGCTTTCACTTCAGCAATTTATTAAAATGCTTTCACTTTTAATAATATCAAATTACTTTTACAAACTGTAGTAAGAGAACCTTTTTTAATTGATGTTAAAAACAAAAGAATTATCTCTAATGAGAAATGAAACGACCCAGAAACGCACTTACCAAAACTTCAAAATTTATATTTTCAATTTTTTTCACTTGCTGTGCAACCTGGCCTCTTAAGAATTGTGACCGTGTAGGACCATCTATGGGTCTGGACTCCACTCTACCACAGATGAGGTAGATACAGATGTGAATCTTCCGTCAAATTATGTCACACCGATTAAATAAACTTTAAAATTGTATTAATTCACTATTTTATTAAATTTTGATAAAGCAGAGAAATAAAACTATACATATTATAGAAGTATTCATGTTTTTTTTATGCCAGAGTCATGTTTTGAGGAATTTATATCATTCGCTGTTTTTTATTATACATGAGCATCTGAAATTCCCAGCAAGTGTATTTCACGATTTTAATAAGAAGTAGATAGGAAAAAAAACAAACTTTTGCTAAATAAAATGTTATATTAACACTTTTAATAAAAAGAAATCAATAAAAGTGATCGCTTACCGTTACTCTTGAAGAATTAATTCCAAAAATAGCCGTCGGTAGCGTAGACTTTTAAAAAAAACAATTTTTCGTCTTTCGAACGGCGTTTTCCTATCTCTTTCCTTATTAAATTTCAGAACGACACTTGCCAGCGCTCGCCGGAAGTGAGAATTCCGTGTGACACAAAACAATCAGCAATTTGACGGAAGATTCACATCTGTATCTACCTCATCTGTGACTCTACTAAACAACTAGTTAATTCAATTCATAGTTACTAATATTAACTATGTTCAATTTTAACCACGGAAAATATTATAATTTTTTTATACAGTACCATTTTATATAGTCGTTTGGCGTAAGAAATACAACGTCTGCGAGCAGGCTATACCATTTACGATCAAAGTATTGTTTCATACTTGATATTTGTCACACTACGAGAGGTAGATAAAGCTCAATACAGCTCGTTTCGACTTTCGTCTTTCGAGAGGAAGATAAAGCTTACAGCAAGGTAAGAAAAGTTTGGTTTTGTACTTGTAGGTCTACTCGGATATTTTGTACGGCCCATATTTTCCCCTTTGCTTAGCTTTGTATATGTTAAACAATACGAACTTTTGTAAGATGATATTAAACAATATAATCCCTTATTTTACTGGAATATGTCAGCATGCCGCTCAAACAATTACAAGACTGATGACTGATTGCTGTTTATATAATTTATTGCTGCCGTAGCGAGCGAGCGTGAAGCGAGCGAGCGAGGCAGCAATCCTAATCTTTATGTATATGTATATATATATATAAGGCAGATGAAATCTCGATCATTTCGGCCTACCACAATGCACTGCTTCCGGGCCGGCAGGCTATTCTTGCCTAATAAACAGGCATAAGGCAAAACAAGCAATGTGATCATCTTTCATCTTTGGTTTTCTACTTTTCTTTTATGGAAAGCCATAGCTGGCGTAAGTGATCAAACGGCATTTTGTCAATACGCAGTGGTTCGAGCATTATACGTGGTGCTTTCGCCATCATACGCGGTGCGTTTGCCATTATACGCAGTGGTTCGAGCATTATACGCAGTGCTTTCGTCATTATACGGGGTGCTTTTAACATAATTTCCATATTCTTTCCATGTATGTAATCTCACGATTGCTTAATAAATCTGGTAGGCCTATGTGGCTGTGCTTTTTGCCTCTGGTCTGCAATGACAATGAAATGCTTTTAAAAAGGTTTATATATAAAAAGGTGACTGCACTTTGTGAGTTCTTATATATTATCATATAGTGTTGATTTATTAGTAATAAATCTGTGTATATAACATAGGTATATAACACTTGAATATATATAACACTTGAATGTGTCGTATGATTTAATTAATATGTTTTAGGATTTAAAGCCTTTAAATTAAAATGCTTTAATTTGTCATTTGTATTTGTACTTGTACTTGTACTGCATCACAACGCAGTGCGTAAGTGAACAGATTCCACATGTGAGGTTGTCTTGTATATATATTTTTGCCTTCTTTGATAAACATTATTAAACACGCAAATTTAGTGAGACGGACACTCGCTGACTCGCACATGTTAAATGTCACCTGCATGTCATCGTCATTGCCCTTTAACCCCTGGTCTAAATCATATGATTATTGAAGCGGGGCCGTTTTGACTTTGGGCCGTTTTGACTTTGGGCCGTTTTGACTTTGGGCCGTTTTGACCTAGCACCGTATTTGTGGGCAAATTGTCTATACAATTTTATATACTAGATATCACAGCCATACCTGCCATTTTGATCTTTTCCTCGCGTTAGATAAGTTGATAAGTACACTCATTCTTGTTAGCAATCGTACCTGTTCGGCTGTTCCTCTTTCGATACGAAACTTTGAGCGCCGAGTTATCATACGGCACATTCAAGTGTATAAATTATGGATGATTCCAATTCATTACGAATATTTCTTACTCTTATTCTTTAAAATATTAAGAGGCAATTTATTTTTTTTCAATGTCACATATTTGCAATGAAAAGTGTTCAAAACCTAAAATCTTTTTGGCATTCCTCTCAAAATTACTTTGTTTTAGCTTTATTCTCTACAGTTTATAGAGTTAGCTACCTTTTTAAATGTGTCTGCCGGTTGAGAAACATAAAATAATAGTTAAAAATTGCCAATTAAAATACAATTATCAATGATGCCTTAAAATTGACGCTATATTTACAGCCATTTAAGCAAAACGTACTGAACTTCAGACATCATTTTCTCTTTGGCGTATCATCTAAAATCTCTTCATTTTAGCATTATTTTACAGATAAAGCACTAAACATACTTTTTAAGTTTTTTTTTACCGATTGAGAAACGTATTGAAAAATTAAAATTTTGATTTTATTCCTAATCTCATGTGGTATATTATACGCATTAGTTTTGAGCGCGTGTTACGTAACATACAAAGAATCTCATTTAAAGATTTGGGAACAATGCTATACCAAGGCAGCATTCACTACCCTGTGGGTAAACTAGTATATAATATTAAATAATATGAAATTAAATTTTGTGGTGTTAATATATCTTAAGCTGTACAGATTAGTCATGGCTGACAAAAAACAAACAGAAAATAGCAAACCTAACGATGATGAGAAAAAAAATGGTCGTGAGAAATATAAAATCAATTGTGGTTCCACTAGCAATACTGAGAATGAAAAAAATGGTGGTGGAGCAGCTGGTAGTCATGGTGATTGTCCCAGACCTGGTGGAGATTCTGGTGGTAAAAATCCTGACAAGAAAAGGAAAAATCCTGGCAAGAAAAGGTTTTGTATATCAATATTGTATTAATTTTCAACCTATTTTATCTAAATAATTTGGCATTCGACAGAGTAAGATAATAAAAGAAGACATATATGGGCATTGCCTAGGATTCAGTTGTATATACATGGCTGCATCTACTCTCATACAAACTGCAAGATCAGTGTATTTTGTTTTGTATAGTTGGGTTGTTCCTCTTGCCATTGGACTTGGCACTGGTGTGGTTGCTGTTGTAGCAGCACCCCTTGCGGTTGCAGCTGCTGGTTTTACAACTGGTGGCATAGCCGCTGGTTCTGTTGCCGCCTCAATGATGTCATCTGCAGCAGTGGCAAATGGTGGTGGTGTAGCGGCAGGTTCACTTGTTGCAACCTTACAAGCAGTTGGTGCAACAGGCAGTCTAGCTGCTGCTGGTGCCTCAGTGACTGCAGCTGTAGGAGGCATTGGTGCTTCTATTGGAGCAGGAATTGGTTGGTTGGCAAACAAGTTTACTCGTGGAAAGAAGGGTGGTGATGATGGTGGTAAAAATGATGATCAGTCTGGTGATGGTGGTCAATCTGGAAAGAATGTTCAATTCAAAAAAGGTCGTAAAAGGTCTAAACGTGGTACTCAGTGCAGCAGTGATGGTGGAAAAAATCCTCCTGATGATGATGATAGTGATTCTGATTATGTAACTATTGATGATAGAGCAATCAGTACCCGTAAATTATAATTAATTATAATAAAAATTATTTATTTAATGTTGATTATGTAGTGTGTGCTTGTCCAGTTCACCTGAATCATAGAATATGAAACCTTCATTACAGGACCTGGTTTTTTGTGTTTCTACAGTCTTTGATTTTAATAGAATATAATAAACCTTGGGACCTCATGGGATAGTGATCTTTTCATGTAAAAATGCCTTGAAAAATTGTTAGTATAATGGTGGTGATTGTCATGGTGATCAGTGGTGATGATGATGGTGGTGATATGATGGTGGTGGTGGTGATATGATGGTGGTGGTGATGATGGGAGAATGTACATGGTTGTGGTCAGTCCGCAAATACTGGTGGTGAATCTGGACATGGCAGTGCACATACAGACATACGCCTGTTGAACACGATGTTGATACTGTTGATAGCGATATTAAAGATACGAATAAAATAAATTTGTATACACAAACAATAGTTAATAATAAGATAGATCGTTCTTACAAGATGATAAATTTCTTACAAACACGTTGACAATCATATACGGCAATACGCCAGAAGTTAGCGAAGGCCGGATAGCGCAGTCCACAGGATAGTGATTTTTCAACTGTTATAAAATGCTTGAAAAGTGATAAAAGTACGAAAATGAATCCCACAATTAAGAAAAGGAAACTTCCAAGTCTTCAACTTTTATATACAGTAGAATATTTATTAAACGTGGTTATACCAATCAACGCCCAAGTGAAGCTTCATCGGTGGATTGTCAGGCTCTAAAACTAGACGTCTTGATCTAGTTATTAGTTGTATATAGGCTTATAGTTATAGTATATATAAGTCATATAACCACCTCTTCTGTAGTATTGTCACAGGATATTATGGTTATTATAAGTCTATTATGGTATTATTTGTCTGAATATAAGCTGTATAAGTATCACATGATACGTTTAAAACCAATTACAAAAGAGAACGTGTGAAGATTTTTCGAAGAAATGCTTTACCAGGAATTGCGTTTAAACAGAGAAAGTGAAACAACAGCGTTTTGAATTTGTACTGACAAACGTTATAAATTAAGTAGAGCTCAATGCAAACTGCAGTAAAAGACATGAAGGGTTTTTCAAGAAAAGGTTTTTTTCTTCTCATCTGTGTTTCTCTTCTACTGGATCAGAATGTGGCTTGGCAGTAAGTGTTTTTAAGAGAAAGATTGCGAGAGAGAGAATGGACCGTTTTGTGATACGCATGGCTTGCTGCGGATCGGGAAGACTGTTTTATTGCGAATCAAATTATCGCGTGCGTTGTAATTTAATATAACTTTAGTAATTAATAATTCATGAGATTGATGAGAAAAACACCAAGGATGTTACGATCGTATGGGAGTTTCAGTGTACAGCTGTACAAAAATCCTGCTGATTTACGTAAACTTTAAGTTCATTTTTGTTACCAAATACTGTATCATCCAGGTCTTTAAATTATCGAAGCCGTGCATACGAACTAAATACACTAATTACAAGATGCATACATAGAGGCGCTCAAACGTTTTATACGCGAAAGAAAGCTAGAAATATACGGATCAAAAAAGAAAGCTAGAAATATACGGATTAAAAACATTGTTAAAAGAGACTTTATTAAATATCTTGGTATATATATTGATAATAATCTAAATTGGGAGTATCAGATCAAACACATAAATAGTAAAATTGCTAAAAACACTGGAATAATGAATAAACTCAGATATTACCTAGATTTGAAAATGCTTAAACATTTATATTACACTCTAATTTACCCATACATTAATTATGGACTGATGAGTTGGGGTAAAACCTATGCAACAAAGCTTAATAAAGTACGAACATGTCAAAATAAATGTATAAAGAATATGTTTTTTGCATCCAAAAAAGAAAGTGCAACATTATACATGAATTTACTTTCCATACTAAAGCTAGACAACGCTTTTAAATTGAAAATAGCCACATTTACATACAAAATTATAAACGAAGATAAAAATATCCCTAGGATATTTACAAATATCATTTCTACTGCATCTACTCAGCACTCTTATTCTACTAGATTTGCTGAAAAACAAAATTTTATTAGGTCGAATGCTCGAACAAATTATGGAATCTTTACTTTCAGATTTATTTCATCAAAAATTTGGGAGACAATTCCTTACCATATAAAAGAGTCAAATTCAGTTTCTGTTTTTAAGAATAGGTATAGTCAATTCCTCATTTATTCCCAAATATAAATACCTACACAGTTCTGTTATGTCGCCGTCATATACTTTTATATAATAATATGATACATATATACAGTGATCAACTCGAAAGCATTCCGCTATTTTGATCACTGTACACGTTTGTTTAATATAGCAGTTTTAATATGTGGGCTTTGATTTTTGTAACTATATAAATTTTCTGTATGTTATTCTTACTTAGTTTAAATACGTGTGAAATAAATGTGATTCTGTGATTCTGATTCTGCGACACCGTGTAATCTAAAGTAAAGACATTTGCATATACCCCATCAAAATATATACCCCAACAAAGTTGGTCGAGACCAATTGGAATGGCACGTAACGCGACACTGTAATCTAAAGTAAAGACATGCAGATTTGCATAACCCAGATCAAAGTTGGTCATGTGATCAAGACCATGCAAATGGAAAACTACGCTTAATACACTACTTTTACTTTCATGCCATTCACTTATTTAGAATATATCACCATTTAGAATATCACCACTCAGATGTGCCATGGCTGCTGCTGGTGTCGTCGTTGGGGGCCCAGCTGCCGTAGCAATGGTTGGCTATGGCGCAGCTGGTATTGGAGCTGGCACATTTGCAGCCAACATGATGTCATGGTCGGCAATCGCTAATGGAGGCGGCGTTGCAGCAACGATGGGACTGGCTGGTTTTGCAAAGACACCAGCAGGGCTGGCCTTGATAGCAGTTGGTTGCATAATTCCATGACTAATACTAGAAGAAGATGAATGAATGAAACTGATGATTATTCCTATGACTGAAAGAGAAAAATATTTTTTAGAAGTGTTAGGGAAAGTACATTTATTATGCCGAGGGGGGGGGGGATGAAGATGTTAAGGGGGGCTCCGAAATATTTTCTGGCATTAAAGGGGGGGCTCTGAAAGTTCTTGATATACTGAAGGGGGCTCTAAACTTTTCAAAGGTTTAACCCCAGCAAATTAAAGTTAAAATTTTTACATCAGTTTCAGGTAAAATTCGCGTAATAAAGTAATTATTTTTGTGAAATGATAACCATTTTTGTAAAATACAGTCAATTTACATGCAATTTGTTTGCGAAATTTGCTTTAGAAAACGCCAGAAATTCAGTCCTAGAGCTTCGAAAATGTAAAAATTTTCTGACCCCCCTTTTCTCCCAAAACTTAGTATAAGAGTGCCAATCAATCACAAAAAGCTTTATTATAATTATTACACGTATAATCCTCTGACATCCCCCCCCACCCCAAACGTCAGATGCTTTGCTACGTCCCTGCTACGTCAGATGCTTTACTACGTCTAAGATATCCTTAGTCTGCTCTTCTAAATGGATACATGAAATCACCTATAGCTTATTTTAATTTTTTTTGCGCCAGGTTTGTGAAGTAATTTACGCGCCAAAAAGCAAAAAAGCATATACAATTTGCAAGAATGATATGTTCTATGTTTATGGGATATTTCGTACAAACGGATGGAAATTAAAGAAATTGATGCATACTGGCACTTTTGCATGCATTTTTGACAGGCATGCAAAGACATTTGCAACAGATGCCGGGAGATACGTTGGGTGGGGGCAACATACTGTAAGGTTCCAGCACATTACCCTGATCCAGGAAATCCTGGCCACTGCATGAACGTGTTCAAGACTCCGAATGCGCTCAATGATGGACAACAACGACTTGTTGATAATTCCACCCCTAGAGCCAATTTAAAATGTTTTAAAGACGGTGCCATTTCATCTGGCGCTAGTGAGATGAAAGAAGCAGCAGATCGGTAGTTTTGTTAAGAAGAAGAACTGAGTAGCACTTGAGTATATCAGACATCTTGAGGAACTGCAAATTGTATCTATGATAAGAGAGAATTCCGGATTGTACTCCTTCGATTCCGAATTCTAGAGAGGAAGGGGGGCATTGAAAATTTTAAAAACTTCGAGGGGGGGGCATCGAAATTTACCGATAACCTCAACAGGGGCCCTGTAAAAATATGAGCTTTTTTCAAGACATCTTCATCCCCCTCCCTCGGTGTAATAAATGTACTTTCCCTTATACAGCAGGGGATATTTTACTTTACTTTTTACAAGTAATTTTTAAACGTATCTATAAGGTGTTCATGGAGAGGCATTATAGTGTATAGTTTCAGAGCTTTTTGTGTTTAAAATTGAGTAACTCTGAACAAGATCGTTGTTACAAGATGACCATTTTTTACAAGCTTGCAATTGTTGACAATGATATAAGTTTTTTACGTCCGTAATAATGTAATTAATATCTGGTTCCAGTATAACCTGCATGTGGTATTATTGGTGTACAACAATAACATAAAACTGAGCAGTGTAACTTTTTCGCAGAAATTTTTACTTGCTCTGATCAGGATTTGCGTTTTAATAATGCAACAGTCATATGCGCAACGTAGACGTTCTCCTTGTATTTTCAGGTAGTTGTATCCCTATCAATCCAAAGCTTTTTTATTTTCGTCATTACCTACACGGGCACAGACCATTCAAGATTATGGGAAAATGCATGGGGAAGTTTTGTTCCACTGTGCCAAATATCATGGGTTTTCCCCAGGCATTCCGGTAATTTCTTCCAGGGCCGCCGAGAGGGGGGGGGGGCAAATTGCCCCGGGCCCCAAGGTGCTGGGGGCCCCTGAAAAAATTTTGTTGGGCCCCAGTCTTTTTTGTGTTTTAAATATTTCCGCGCAAAGGACAAGATATTTGTTTTCTTGACCTAAGTACCGAAATTTGGCATTAAAGATGAGATAAATAAAGTCAGTGGAAAGCAACAGCAACGCACTCGTCCGGAAAAATTTTTTACCCTTAAAATGGTACACTGACCGAAATTTTTTTGGCGCTGGGGGGGAGGGGCCGGGGGGGGAGGAGGTTGTTATCCGGAAAAAAATTTTTCCAGAAAAATTTTTTGGGATAGGGGGCCCCCAAAAAAATATTTGCCCCGGGTCCCCGCCAACCTCTCTGCGGCACTGATTTCTTCCTCACGGGAGAGAGGCCGAACCGAACGGGTTAGGTAAAGATGACAGGATGAATATGTTGATCGCGATTACGATTAGACATATATCGATGCCGTATTGCATCAGTTACATTGCTTGCGGCTGTCGCAACACAACTTCGATGTTTCGAGTGAAGGCTCTGACTTCCCGACGAAGGTTTCTCCTTGTATTTTTCAGATGGTTTGCATCCCTATCAATCTAAAGCTTTCTTATTGTACCTACACTGCCACAGACCATTCAACATTACTAGTTTATATCAAGTACAACTCTATAGAAAATACTTGTCTTGGGCGATTTGAATTTACAGAAAACAGAAAGGTCATATTTTTAGGAAAGGTCGACATATTTTCATATTTTTAGGTATATATGTATATCCATATATATACTGATTTGACTATGCAACTAAAGCGGGAATCGATCGAAAAGTGTGAGTGATCCATTTGAGTAGATATTCATATACTGTACAGTTTACAATACAGACTATAGAACTGATGAGTTTTTTATATTTTAAATTGTAGGAAGAGAACGAAGCCCAGTGACTAAAAATTTTCAGAGCATAAAATATTTACATCAGTTAGCAGGTTCGTTGCAGGTGCGTTGAAACATGCGTGAGTGCAGCCGGTGTGAGGTATTTTTTATAATAAGTGGGAACAAGATAGTAGCTAGTTACATTTATACATCTATCTGTCGATTTTTTCAATTCACAAATAGCTCGTTTTATACTACATTTTATACATTAATTTGCACGAAGTTGTTTTGTATTTGAATTTTAGTGGCCAGCTAGATTTTTTCAGTGTTTCAGGTATTTTAACTTATATATAAATAAACGAATTTATATATAAACGAACAAATGAAATTATTAGTAGTATAGTCAATTATATTGCACCCGAAGTGATGAAGGTGTTATACCATATTACCAGAAAAAATGTTATCAGTGAGGAAACGATATAAGAAAACGGCGTAACGTGGAAACGCGTTTTTCAGAAAAAAGATTTCTTCTCATCTCCTTTCTTTTATACTGGGTTGGAATGTTGTACAAGGCAATATACTGATTTAAAACGAATGAACTTTTTTTATAGTCGGAACGCAAGTCATACCAGTTCTGATAGAAACTACCATCAGGATCGAAAGCAAGCTATATATAGTCAACATTTTTAATATAGATGTTAAAATCAGTGGGGTTTTGTATCCGCTCTTTGTCATCATATCCTTGTAACCACATGACACGAGTACATCCAATTATAAACATAGGTCCGCTGTGGTGGACATGCATCTACTGATTAGAATAGTAGCACTGGGAAATAAAAGGCATTGAGCAGATAAAAGCATAGATGTGCACTCTGACCTTTGGAATCGATTTCTGGCATTTCCAGAGTCATAGCACAAGCACAACGTCACAAACGTCGTATTGTCGACGTTTTAAAATTGTATTTCCGATTGGGATTGCTAGTTTATTCAATTTATTATTGTTGTTAGCTCAGTCGGGCCAGAAATCGGAAATTTTTATATACCGTGATAAAACTAAAAGATACAAATTTGAAGATACAATCTCGAAAATTATAAACACTCCAGACAATAGTTATTGATGATTCGAACAAGATTCATAACTTTTTCCACGAGCAGATTATTTCAGCCATGGTTTAGGTTTCTGGCGATGTTTAAAAATTTCAGTCCCAAAATTCTTACCGAGTCAACAGACAATACTAAAGTTTATCACTATATTTATTATTTATCATTATTAATTATTATTGACTCATAGGTAGTTACGGGCCTAGCTGCAGATAATGGTCAAATTCAGAAATGTTAACAACTTAACATCATTTTCTAACTTCGATATATAATTGCTGGTTCACCACCTACTGCAGGTAGTTCTTAGGGACCTTGCACTAGGGGGGGGACAAAATGGCTGGCTGGAGGGGCCACTAAGAGGGCTGGGGGGGGGACATGCGGACATGGTGCTGCTTCTGTGCAGGGTGTTAGCCAGGATTTCAAAAGTGGCCGTCCAAAATAATTTTGTGGGCGTGGCAACATATTTTTATGGGCGTGGTCACATGTTTTTGGGCATGGCCGCAATTTTCTGCTGTTGAGGAATTGTGGTGTTTTATTCGTTGAACCTTTTTACTTTTAGATGCACATTTTCGTCAACAAATTAGTGAAAGCACACGTATGGTATGATCACTACCATAACTGCATGTAACGTGGCACTCAAGCGATAAAACGATTGTTTTTTTTTTAAACAGCGGTTTCACATTATTCTTCTTGATACTTCACGCGAGAATCATCAAAAACATGGTGCGTTTTACAAAAATATGGCGCGAAGTATTCAAGAAATACTGCATTTAAGCTTGTAGGTTGCTATTTAAAGAAAATATTCCCTTAGGCCGTCCATGGTCGTCCAAATTCAGAAGTGGCCGTCCATAGGACGGTCGGACGCCTGCCTGGCTAACACCCTGCTTCTGTGTATGGATAAAATAGCCGACAATTCCCTCAAAATGACGCACAAGCACAAGAAGCAGCAACCTTGTTCCAAGAAGCCTTGGAACAAGGTTGAAGAGGCAGCAGTTGATGGCAACTACGTTACAACAATGCTGCCAATACACTCATACTGCATCCAGTTGAACCTCCTGCCAATCAAAGCCATAGTCTCCTGCCAGGCAGTACCTAACAAAGAATTTCGGCGGCTTTATGCCCCATAAAATACTCGAGGACGGAGAAATAAACAAATGCACAATACAGGATGAAAAAAGACCAATATTATACTCTGGTTACTGCCTATTGACCACCATCATGAATCATGATGGTGAAGAGTGAAATTCATCCAGTACCAATCTTGTACCCAGAGTCATCGTTGATAGATCTGGGTACGAGATTATCTAGGACCACATAGGTCAAAGACATCACAGGATACGAAATTAATGCCTCCTCAAAAACCTAACCAAACCTTACTTTGGCCACAGTTTGTCGAAGGGAAAATGGCTGTGGAACTGATTAGAATAACAATGTAACTCGTACATCTCTTTGGGGCTTTTCATTTAATGAGGGCCCTGAAGGGGTAAAATGGGAACTGGGATTGATCTATTTTTAGACTGGGAAAATGGGATTTGGGTTGCTGGGACTGGGATTTGGCCACTGGGAATGGGAAATGAAGTCCTCAAAAATGGGAGTGGGATTGAGGTAATG